AATGCACTCTCAGTCGGATACATTTTCATATTCTCAGATGGAGCTGAAACCGAAATCAGAGCTAAAAACAATACCAGCTTCAATTTGTACACATAAACTATTTATTTCAGTATATATCAATATATATATATATATGTATATAAGTGTATATATGTATAGGTGTATATTCTCGGTATTGTTTGGTGTAGTAAAGTACTCTCTCGCCTGGTGCACCACTTCCTTCTCCTCCTACTCCTACTCCTTCTACTCCTTCACCTCATTCTCCTCCTCCATCCACTGCTGCGAGATGTCTTCGGCCGTGGGGTGGGATTTCGTGAGTTAGATAGCTTCTGAATGCTTTATCTGCGGAATGTACATAACATATATCAATGGTTCATCGATTCACTGATTTTTTTTTTTTTTGCTTGCCTTTTTTTCTTTTGTTCCTTAACTTGACTTCGTTATGTGTCGTCAGATGATTGTTACTCGTACTTTCGGTTGCATTTAGAAAATTGGCTTTTAAAAAAAATCGACTACACTTAATCTCGATTCTCGTTTCTCGTTACTCGCTCTGCTTTGTTATCCTCCGATCCGGTCCGATCCGATCCTCTCTCGCCGCATTCTATGTACAGACGTATTCCAGGGGAGTGTGATCCCCGGGCTCTCCTCCGGTATTTACACGAGATATACGTACATATATCTCTCGATTCGTATAGCTATATATATGGTTAGTACATGCATTCCTATCCATCTTCTGTCCAGCTTATAATCACTAGATTATGCGTAGTTTTGCCCACTTTTCCCCCCTGGGCGACAAGCCCAACAAAAAGCCCAAAATAAAGTTGAGTAAAATCATAAATCATGCCTCCTCCCCTGCTACACTGCTTACTCGACTCTAAGTATTGTATTTATGAATATCCGTATATTCAATAATGCTCCCACGACAAGCCATACAATCTTGTCTCTGACTGTACCGCACACAGAAGTCTGTGTGGAAATATTTAGTTATCTTTGTTTGGGGGGTTTTTGTTTTTTTTTTTGTTTCGTTTCGCTTTTGTATGGAATTCTGTGGACTCCAGTTAACACTACTAAAGTACTTTAGTCGGTGGTAACCGCATTCTTGGATGTAGTCTTGGGTTTTACACACAAACGTACTGTGGATAAACATTATTAACAATTGAACAACGGTAATTACAATTGCACGACATCAACAACGGCAACAGATCACCAGCAACAATATCACCGAACACCGGAGCTGGAGAAGTGGCTACAGGGAGGCTACAGGATGGAATAATACATACGTATTATTCCTTCACAGCCCTGTTCCACTTCGATGCGTTTTTTTTTAGCTGTGTCAGTCCGTTCCGTTTCGTTCCATTCCATGCCATGCCAGTACGTTGCATTCAGTTCAATCCAACCCGTTCCCATTTCCATTTCCGTTTCCGTTCTAGTGGTATTACTGCTGATTCTGATGAACTTGGACTTAATGTATATTGTATAATGCATTATTATCTTATTATCTTGATACAATTACGAGTATTGTAGATACACATATACTAGTTGTCACACATATATATATATATATATATATCTATGCACATTCAATGCTAAATCAATCAAAAAAAATTGCACCCATATGGTGCTATCGTACATAGAGTATGCATCGTATGGTATGCATCGTATATATAGTATACATACATATATACAACTATCAAAAATAGGACAAATAGAACTGGAGAGTTGCTTTGGCTTGACATTCAATTCTTTAGTTTTTTTTTTTTTAAGTTTATTTTATTTTAGATTAGCTCTGCATCTCTGCAGCGTTAGTTTGCTTCTAGCTCTCCTTTCTGTTTTTCTTTTTTTTTTTTGTTCTTTTGTTATTATTTGATTTTTGGTTTAGTTTAATTGTTTTTTTTTTTTATTAATTTTTGTTGTTTTTACGAGTATACACATTTATTGTAACACAAGTAGAATGCAGATTGGATAGAGCAACGCGAACAACAGTTATGTTAGGTTAGGAAGATGAGCAAAAAACATGGACTGCGACCAAGAAGGATCGCACTGACTTGTAAATAGTTTGAGATACTTCCATATGTCCATATGTATATAATATATATATGTATATCTATATGCATCTATGTTATAGATTTAGATCGGTAAATATCTGTAAATATATGTATACGAGTATGCTACTACTGTTCTCTCAACACACACATTGAAAGTGAAAGTTAACTTTGGGTTACCGAATTGAGACACATACATGGAAATCGAAGTCTAAAATACATTCTGGGCACATCGAGATACATTTTGTTAAATACTTTTTGTTTGTTTGTTTGTTTGTTTATCTTTACCTTTAAACATGTATGTATATGTATATGTTTATATATGTATATGTATATGTCTATATGTATATTCATATTTAGTTGCAACCCGATTCGAGCGCTTTCAAATCATCTGGAAGATGATTACATCTCCATGACATGCCTACTCATAGTCCTCATCTTCATTCTCATTTCTATCATTTCTATCATTTCTTTATCATCCTGTGGGATGTCATTGACCAAATTGACAAGGCCAAATGCCATATATGTATATAGAAACACACTTGATTGATTGCAATATTGACTGATTGTTTGTTGGTTATTCGTCTGCCAGTCCTTCCCACTCCATTCCCAGCACAAACTCTGTTTTCCAATGGCCTGCAATTACAAATTCTCAATTTGAGTTTCTTTGTTAAATAACTTTGCAACTTCTTCCTGGGAAGGAAATATGTTTGGCTTCTACTCCTCTCAACCCATCCTGCCGCTTATTTAGCATTTTTTTTAGCTGCTTTTTCTTCTGATTTGGTGTTAGCTTTAGCTTGGCTTTGATATCGTAATATTTTACTTTTAACATTAAATATTCAACGCAAACATTAACATTTAACTTCGATTTTCGTTTCGTTTCGATTCGATTCGATTTAGTTGGGTATTTGTTGTTGTTGTTATTTGCTGTTGTGTAAGCTCACATTGTACATACAAATTACATTTATTGTGTGGTTTACATTGATTAAAACTCTTGAGTCTGTAGACACTTATTCGATATTCGCTGCGGATATACATATAATATGCTTGAGTATATTCTGAATATGTGTGGGCATGTGTAGGTAATTATTGTTGTGTTATTGAGGGAACCGTTCGAGCCACTCAGCCTGCTAATCAGGAGAGTTGGTACAGTTTTGTCTCTGGTTCCCTTGATTGTGGGTGATGCTTTGTTTCGATTACAGCCGATTACGGAGCACAAATGTGTGCAACAATAAATGTTTCGGTTGCAACCTAGACCCCAAATGGGGCTACTACAAAAAAAAAAAAGTAGGGAAATTCCCAACGGACTCTCCCAAATGCCAATGCATCTATACAAAAAAACGGATCACTCCATATGCATATAAAAACATACATGTGGGTGGCCACTTCGTCTCAACGACTGCCGCTTCTGTCCTTCTTTGGATCTGTGGATCCCGCTTAAATTCCCTTCTCGTACAAAAATATTTTGACATTCTCTGTTAATCCGCCACCTCCTCTTCATCTTCATCTTCCTCTAGCTCTGGATCCGAGTCCACACCGGCCAACATCTTCCTGCCGATTCTAGATTATCCAATTTCGATTACAAATTGTATGCAAATGTATGAGAATAAATATATATATATATTATCTGTACTATATCATTATCTATATGAGGGTTGTACTACAGTTTTGCTTGTCTTGTTGGTTGTCCGATGAGTTCTGTCGTGGGTCGCGCATTCGTTTGTACTTTTTCCCTGTTCCTAACCCTGATTTTAGTACTACTTCTTGTAGTGACTACTGAGGAATTCTTCCTGTTCCCTGATTGTTTGTGGAGCTCCCAAAGTCCCCTGCAGCGTTATTCGCTGCTTGTCTATCGAAATTGATCACTATTCGCCGCCAATCGCTATGCTCTCGCCTCTCGCACATCCTACCAATACCGTTATCGTTATCGTTTAAGTTACTTGTACCGTTAAAGCAAAGACAATATAACAATAAGATGCATGATGCCATACGAAATTTTTGCACACGAATTTTTCCGGCTGGCTCCAGGCTCTCTTGAAATTTTGTTCAAGAGCCAGAGAGAGCGCTCTAGAGCCAGCCGCTCTCTTGTATGCATACCAAACAGCATACGAAGGCACACGAAGATGGTTCTCTGCCGCTGCGGCAGCCGAGCCGAGCCGAGTCGTCGCGACGACTGTAGGTGTGCACACGTACTCTTTAGCAATCTAGATCTGCCAGCATGCATACCATACGTTTTTTACAGCGCTGTCGTAATATACCCTTCACTTTATAAGTGTAAGTTAGTTTTGCAAGACGCTTACCACCCCAATATTAAGAAACTCTTATATTGTATATCCCTCCAATGATAATTTCTTTTAACATGGTATATTCGATAATAGTGAGCGGATATACTTATATAAAAATACATAATATATTTAATACATGACTTCTTACATTGGAATAATTGTCACTAGGGTATTCAGCGTGCAACGTATTCAACGACTAAATAAATTCGTTTCTCAACTCATAAAAAGGTACGCACTTGCTGGCTCTGTGTGTACTCACACATGCAAGTGCACTCTATTTTTAAGATTTTTACGCTCTCAAATTTGTGCGAGCGAGATTTGAAATGTATGAGCGTTACGCATCTTATTGTTATATTGTCTTTGGTTAAAGTTACTTGTACTCTTATTGTGCACCATTATACTCTGTTACCGCTAGGACTACTACTCTTGCTGCGCTTCAGTGTAGGTGTTACTGGACTGATGTGTGGATGCACTGGATGTACTGTACGGTACCGTACTGTATGTACTTACTGTTACTTTCAGTATAACTGTCACGTTTCCGTTTGCTGTGTTATTGTACCTGATAATTTAGAAGTTATTTACTTGCACTCGGGCGTTACTTTTATTGCTACGTTTACCATTACTCCCCCTGCTTATACTACAACTACTACTCGCTTCTCCTACTCGTTACTCGTTACTCGTTAGTGCGAGTGCTTTTCTTAGTGGTTAACGCTTGTGTTGCTGTTATTGTTCGTTTTTCGTGTATGGTGTTACTATTGCTTCATTTACTATTACTTGTACTATGCTTTCCAGTTAGTTATACTTTTACCGTTTTTGCATTATTCGCTACTTTGCTTACTGTTACTGTAAGTGTTACTGTTACTGTTACTGTTACTGTTCGTGAATCAGTTGTAATTAGTGTTTCAGGCACGGCTATGGTTCCAATTACATACTCATACTCCCTATTCCTGTTCCACTTACTGTACTGTACTTACTGTTAGGCATACGATTTGTCTCACATTTCTAGTCTCTCGTTCAGTTACTGTAAGTGATTTGTAAGTTATGTTTGACGGTCAGTTAATGTTACTATGTTAATGCACTACTGCAGGTCTGCTTTACGATTGGATGATTGATTGATTGGGTGGGTCGTCACTGTCCCGATTACTCGTGTTGATTGGTTCGTATGTGAGTGATACTTATACTAGTAACTAGTTTGCACATATGTATGTATATATGTATGTATGTATGTACTTTCGAAAAGATCTAAGTTAGTAGAACTCTGCAGTGCCAATATGGCTGCTTTAGCTGCCGTATATCGTGTTTTTTTTTTTTCTTCTAATATTTCGGTATTTTGTCTTTAGTGGGGTAACTGTTTCAGTAACTCTAAACTGAGTTTCACTGACGGTTCAATAAAGTATTTCAAATATTATTTACTCCTCGAGGGAGTGTTCCATTTTGCTATATAGTAAATGGTGAAATTTTTGCGGTTATTCTTGTTGTTCGCTCTCTGCCTAGCTGGTGTCTGGTTTTTTTGGTGTTGAAGTTCGCTTTTTCCAATGGTTAACAAATGATACGAATATTTCCGGATCTCAGAGATACAAGTAGCTCGCTGCAAGGGGATAAATAAAGCCGATGGAAATAAGGAAACAGGAAAAGAGACAGAGAGAGAGAGAGAGAGCGAAAGGGAGAGAGAGAGAGAGAGGTGAGTGCCTTGGCCCACCAAGTGGCTGGCTCTACACTCACCCTTTGCTGAACGGCCAGGATCTGTTCAGGGGTCAGTCCCAGAGCCTTACTTGCCTCTGCGTCCCCCGACCTATTTGACGAATAGGTCCTTGAGTGTGGAGCACAGCGAAGCATCGCACGTGTCCTTCGAGTCGTCCTCGTCGCCCTTGCTGAACCAATTCAGAGTGGAGCGCATGGCCCGCCCGGCCTGCGACTGGGCGCCACTGCCCACAGACGCCCGGCTACGTCGTGCTCCAGCTGGACTGCCTGTGGCGCTGCTAGACTCCTTGGGCACAGCCCCACGGGCAGCCGCCGATGTGGAGGGTCCGCCGGAACTGCCAGCTCCAGACATCCCGGCATTGGAGCTCTTGCGGAGGAAGCCCTCGATCGCCGTGCCCAGCATGGTCGCGTCCACAATGTTCGCCTTGGTGGTGTCGGCCCAGCTCTTCTGCTTGCTGCGAGGCTTGAGCTTCGGCTTGCCGGAGTCCCCGCCGAGCGGGTCCTTCTTTTGCAGTCGGTCCAACATGTCCTTCGACAGGGCCATGGCCGTGCTCTTGCTGCGCACACTTTTCTTGCGGGCCAGTGGCTGGGGACGACTTGCCGGCTTGCCGAACCACCCGGATATGGCGGCAGAGCTGTTGTCCTGCGCCTCGCTCACCAGCTGCTTGGCGTTGTTCAGGATCGAGACATCGAAGCTGTTGGATCGTGTCGAGCGGCCTGCGTTCGGGTCTAGCAGTGAGCTGCTGCTGCTTGCTGCGGCCGCCTGTCCCCCGCCTGCCTGGGCCGTCGGCGTAGGCGTGGCACTGGTTGCACGGCCCCGGGCGGCGTTCTGGAACGTCTGGCTGAGGAAGGGGCTACTTCCGGCAGTGGCAGCTGAAGAGCTGGCACTGGCGCTGGAGCTCCCCTCCGGCTCTGAGCGATGCATGTCCATGGCCGAGCTGGTCAGCGAGCTAAAGATGCCAGCGATGTCCGTGCGGCTGCCAAGCAGCCCCACTCCGCTGCCCGACTTCTTGCGGCGTGTCGAGGCCCTGGCCGACGACGGCGGCTGGGGCGAGATGCTCTTCTGCGATGAAGACGCCTGTCCATGTGCGTGAGCCTGGGCGTTAGCCTGTGCCTGTGCCTGCGGGTGCGGGTGTGGCGGTGCATGTGGATACTCCGAGGCCCGGCGAAAGCTGCTAGCCGGCTGCGGCTGGGGGCACTCCGAGAAGCGACGGTTGGTGTAGCGCCTCCCCGGGCCCGCTGTCCCGGCCTCGTCAACGGTCTGTACCTCGCAGACCTTCTCGTTGCTGGAGGTCCACAGCTTCAAGCGAGCCTTCCGCGACTGCAAATAGATGTCGTCCATAATGTCCAGCTGCAGGTTGTGGATGCTGCCGATGGGATCTGTCGACGGCGGGCCCGTGTTGCTCTCCCGCCGTGAGTTGAGCACGCGGCTGCTGCTGCAAGAACGACCCAAACGAAAAAAAAAAAATGTTGCAGCGTGAAAATACAAACTATCGGGCACCCTTAATACACGAAAGTCCCTACAAGTCTGCTTATATATACTACTGGGGAACTTTGGGACTTACCCATTGCTGCTGGGATAGGCGGCCACCGATTCGCGACGCGAACGTCCAAAGAGAGTGGTTGGCACCTTCGAGATGGTGACCACCGAGTGCCGGCGTCCAGATGGGGCCGGCGCCTGTGAGAGTGTGGCGAGAAAGGCTGCCTCCTTGGGCGAAGGTCCGGATCCCTCGCCGCCGCGCTCGGACAGACGGCGCACCTGACTGGCGGTAATTCCATCGGTCACCTGTTGCGAAGGCAGCGAGTGCTTGCGGGCTTCGCGCGGGTCCCGCCACGGGGACAGCAAATACGGGTTCACCGGCGAGTCAATGTCCAGACTGGCGCGATTCGAGAAGGTTGTCTCCGAGCTGTCCTCCAGCTCCTCCGGCAAATTGGACTCCTCCACCACAATCAAGGGCTCCGGCTTGCTGTGCACCTGCGGCGGCGGTGGCGGGTTCGGGTTGCTGCCACCTGACCCGGAGTTACCTCCATAACGGTTGAATTGCGAACCCCGTAAGCGCAGCGCATCTGAGGAATAGCAGATACCAAAACGTAGATCGTAGAAATTGTGCGTTGATTTCGTTGAAACCGCCCAGGCACTTACCCATTTTATACAATTTCTAAATTGCCAGCCAGTGGACAAAACTTCTCCTGATGTCCTTCCTGCAAATACGAGAAATCGGGCAAAGGATTACCGGCTGGGCATCGATATTTATTTATTTATGAGTGGGGACTGTCAATTTTATATGTGTTAAATTTAACTAATAACTAATAACTAATATTGATGGTGTGTACTAGGTTAATATTATTATTTAACATTTTTTTTTTACTTCTAATTTTTTTTTTTTTTAATTTATTTATTTTTTCTTTTTTACTTTTAATTTTTTTTTTTTAAGGCTTTGGATAAAATAAATACACGAATCCGATAGAGAATTTTCCAGAGCTCTCAAAAATCCAAATCGAATAGCACAAGTTCCACGACCTGTGGCGAATTTCCGACGCTTTCGACGCTTTCGATTTCTATTTCATCATCCGGCTGTCTAGCAAGTTCCGAGAATCGAGAATAAGTGGCGCGGTAACGACGCGGTGAGAAATGTGAACAGGTCTCACTCACAAAGTAATTAAAGCAACTGTCCAGGGACTTTTTACTTCGTTGAAGACGAAGCCTGCCTGCCTGCCTGCCTGCCTGCCAGCCTGCTGCCCTGCTGGGGACAGCCCAACCCAACCATAATGAGCATAAAATTATGCAAAAGTTGAAATGAAATTTCGCCATACCTCAGCTGCCACAAGAGAGCGTATTTAGCGTGGGGTGGGGGAAGGGGGAAAGGGGGAAAGGGAGACCAAATGAAACCAAAACAGCGGTGCCGCAACCTCAACCACCACCGCAGCACAGCAACACAGCAGCGGAACTTTTCCTTTGAACGAAATACTGGGGCACATTGGCGGTCTAATAACGACGATAACGACGATCTCGGTGACGGGTACTCCGCAGTCCGAAGTTCCTGTCAACGAACTAGATCAAGGGAATAGAACCCGCTGAGCCAGATAAAGATGCGGCGGTGCGGCTCTAAATCCGGGGGAAGTTCTCTATCGTTCCGACGTGGCAGTAGCAGTGGCAGTGTTAATGAATTTAACAAGTGATTATTGCATGAGGAGCGGAGAAGGCAGAAGTTTCGGAGTCTGAACGGAAGCCCCCATTTTATTTGATTAGGCAGCCTGTGACAGCAGCGGACTTGCATCGCTCCGCTCCGCTCCGCACCGCACCGCACGGTGCCGCACAGTGCCACTCGGCTGCATCTGAGGCAGCCGTGGCGGCGGTTCGTGTCCGTTGCCGGGGCAAATTTGTTGTCCCAAAGTGCCGAGTCGCAAGTCGCAAGTTCATTAAGCTTGTAAATTGGCAATCAACACCAAAGTTGCGGCTTTGTGTTGGAGTTAATTAGCCTGTCTATGCCACTGACAGCACTGGCATCACCGCGGTTGGATGCGCTCCACTCCCTCGCATCGTTATCCTTTGGTCTCTGATCTCTGGTCGCCCTGGTAGCTGCTCGCTTCCCTGTGCTCCGCTCCCGGACAAATTTGAATGACTGAAGTTATCCAATTTGGATGCTTCATATATGTATGCATATGTACAAACGAATACGAGTATAATGAATATCTGATAAATATAACAGGGAACTCTAAACTCATTTGCTCGATTGCTCAAATGCTCAATTAAAGCTTTTGTTCCAGCCTCGTCCTGTCATAAGTACATTGTTCCATTGAGCCCCAGGGCAACCCCTGCAGTGCACTGCTGTTCCTACTTAACAGGACCTGTCTTGTCCTGTACTGTCTTGTCTTTTCCTGTCCTGACCTCACCTGTCGCGTCCTGCTTTACACACGGAGCCGCCCTATTCGGATTCCCCGGAGCGGCTTTATTGAAAATGTTGGTGGCTCCTCTTCAGAGGAAACCCTCAAATGAGTGGGTTGGGTGGCTCGCTTGGCTCGCTTGGCTCGCTTTCACTTGCCCCATTTCGGGACTCTCTTTTCCTGGCAATTGAAAGAGCCTACCAAGCCGCTGCTTGGTAGACCGCAAACGAGCCTGATGGCCAAATGCCAGGAGTGCCGTCGACCAGAAACGTTGGCCAAGAATTTCAGAATTTCAGTTGCCATTCAATGCCGTCTCCGTCCCGTCTCTGTCCGACTCTGCGTGGCAGCAATCGAAACTGAAACTGAAACCGTAACCGTAACCGTAACCGTAACCGAAACCGAAGCGAAATGAATCGAATCTCGAACCATGGACCAATCAAATCGAGTTTCGGTCTTTGAGCAAATTATGGCAGCAAACGAGTGTCGAGTCGACGCACCGCTCTATTGAAAAATAGAGAAAAATAGAGAAAATGTGGAGAACAAAGAGGCGAAAATACAATAATCGCAGAGGAAATCTTGAGAAAATATGGAGAAATTATTGGCTGCTGCACTTTCCCCAGAAGTTTCTCCAGAGGTTTATCGCAGTCTCTCTCTTTATTTCTCTTTCTTTCTCCTTACTTGTCTCTTGCACATTTTTAGGTGAAATTGGTACCAAAAACCACTCGCCAGCCTCTCCCTCCCTCTCCTATCAAAGCATATCTCCCTCAATTTTGCGTGTAATTGATTGACTCAGTACAGACAGACAGACAGACAGACAGACAGACTTTCATCTGCATTGAGGAATGCGGGAATGCGAGTCAGTCGGCATGGAGTGGAGCAGACAGTCGATTGACAGATTGACTCTGTGTCCCACTGCCTCACTCGCCCCACTGTGCCGCTGTCCATATCCCCTTGTTCATGTCCATTCATCGAGGACTAGCTCAATTTCCGTTAAGCTTTGTTTAATGGACTTGCACAGAAAGTTTACAAAGCACTTTGGCCAGATAGAGAGCCAGCCAAATGGATGGACAGGAACTCAAATTGGGTATGGAAGGTGTCCTGCCACAAGGGGCAACCATCAGCAGCTGTATGTATGGTGGATGTTTAATGCAGCATTGCATATTAATAGAAATCTCGTCTGCTCGCCCCAAAACGAATCCCAAACATCGGAAGTGTGGCCCATGACAGTTGATTGTCGCAGGTCCGAGTCCGAGCCTGGCAACATTCCACCTGCCTTTCCGGCGGCACATCATTTTCACCGAATAACAAATAAGGCGATTAGCAGCTTTACCTCGTTCTGAGTAGCCCCATTCCCGATTCCCGAACAAAGAACAAACCCATTAGGGGTTCCATTAAATCTTTATCTCTCCCCGAAAATTTAAGCTTTCCTCTGGCTCCCTCCCACACACCCACACCCACACACATACACACACATACAGACACATCTCCCACTCTCATGTCGTTCCGAAAGCAAAGTGCAAAAGCTGATTGGAACTTTTTTTTTGTCTTTTGGCAAAGAAAAGTTCAAGGGTTAACCGCACATTCAGATTTACATTCGGCATTCGGCATAGGACATTCACCCATCCCATTCACCATCAATGTTGAGATTCACATTTTGATTTGGATACTCGCTCGCCTGCTGCATATTCAAAAGTTTCCCCGTGCGATACCTTGGATCTCGCCTAGATCTCAGAGACTATAACAGCTAGAGCAAATAAATTTTGTTTCCTTTGCGGAGAAGATGCAGAATCAACATTGTGTATGTATAATCTACATGTGTAATCGATGTAGATGTAGATAACAGATGTAGCAACAAAAAATGTAATATGTATATAAAATATTTTAGAATTCGACATAAATCATAAGCTCACATATTTATATACTGACTGAGTACGGATATAAAAGTAGAGTCGCGTCCACAGAAGCGACTCACAAGTTCCTTCTGGGTTTTTTTTTTTTCATTACTCTTAAGCTATTTGCGAGTGGGTTGCGATTGGGATTGTGATTGGGGTTATTGTTGTTTTGGTTGTTGTTTTTGTTGGCTAGTAACAGGTGCAAGCGCAGAAAGGCCGGAGAATGGTGTACGCGCACAAAAGCACAAAGAGAAATGGCAGCAGCTCCATGATTGCGGCTTTCATAACTGACTTTGACATCCAGCTATAGAGTTGGCAGCAGTTGCATCTTGGCAACGCCCTACAGGCTGGGGCTGCAGCTAACATTTATTCAGAGAAATAAGACAAAAGCAGAAGGAGAACTGTTAATCAGATCAGAGGCGTAGCAGCAGCAGGAGCAGCAGCAGGAGCAGCAGCAGCAGCAGGAACAGGTACCGGTACAGGTAACAGGTAAAAGAAAGGTCAAAGTTAAAGTTCGAGGCAAAAGCCCACATGGACAGGGACAAGAACTTGACAGAGAAGTTCCGGCTGGAACTGGCTCCCACTCATATTGTCACAGATTTTCAGAGGATGGCTGGAAGGTTAGGCAACGGTATAATCGTAGTGAAATATTCTCGGGACTCGGGGTAAGTCAGCCGGTGAGCCGGATCCGGAGAGGGTATATCCAGGGTGCATATAACCCGCAGCAGCCCCACATTCAGTGAACATTCTAAATGTCTTTTCCTCTGCCACTTCCTTTGTGTGTGCGGAAAAAGATATGAATTTCCACGAAACTTGTTGCACAAGGTGCACGGCTCTCAAGGTACTGCAGCACACTGCAACCCCGCCCCCGCCCCGCTCGGATGCTCGGAGACAAGCTTGTTTATGACATGCATTTGAAATGCGGCCAGGATACGCACTTGGACTTGGGCCATGGTCATGGTTACGGCTGTGGCAGTGGCAGTGGCATTGAGTAGTCTCCCCCCATGCTCGATGCTCGCTGCGAGTGTACCCTATACCCCGGGGGGAAATCGAGCTGAACTCCTTCAAAAAACGTGTCCCTCCCCTCCCCACCCACCAGCGACTATGATTGTGCAGCGTTTCCGGCCATTCCGGTCGCAGTTTCCATCCTCTTCCCTCTCTTCGTCTCCCCGTCGTTTTGAGATGCTATCCTTTTGGCGGTGGTTTTTTTTTGTAGTTTTAGTTTTAGTTCCGCTGCAGCATTGACAATGATATTGCTGTAAAAACACCCACCCAAAGCCATGCCCATCCATGCTACATCCACTTACCGCCTACCTGCCTGCCTGCCTGTTGAAAGAGTTTTTCAGTTTGCATTTTTCCATTCGTTCGAATACAAAGAAAAGGCAATTTATAACTAAAAAGTTGTCATTGCGAAGCGATAGCACG